AATAGTTTTTAGCAAGAGTTCTTTAAAATTTCGAAAATTAAAAAAAAATCAACATCAACCATCTGCCATAACTAACATGTACAAGTAAGTGCATGGCACTTCAGCACAGTAAGCCTCACACATTCATGCAACCAATGATTTTCAATCATGTTCAGCAACTGATACTGGGGATGGTATTGGAAAAAGTACGAATCTCGGGGGTGCCATTAGAAAAACTACCTTTGTGGGGGAAAATGTGGAGAAATACTTCTGAAACTTTTTTTTATACTCCAACTACCATGAAGGCCTAAACACCCATGGGGTTCCGTGGGGCTATAGCGGGATACAGGGGAAAGGGGGGACGCCACTTGGACTCTGGCGAGGGAACACGTGTGCATGCAACGTGCACACATTCCGGCACCGCCTACTTGATCCGCCGGGTGGTACCTCCGCGTTCGACAGTCAGAGACCGTCTACCACCTACGAACAGTCACAACATCCATAGCTAAGAGACAAATTTCTATTGGGACGGGATTCGAACCCGCGCAGCGCACGGCGACTGATCAGGAGACCGAAGAGTCTACCACTGCGGCCACCTCTGCTGCATCTGCTGCTGAAACTGTAAACATTCGAGAATCATGGAATGTATATTCAGAATACGCATCTATTCTTTAATGAAGCGTTTTCAGTAAAGAATCTTTGTTGGTAAAAAATGGATTTAAGTGGTTTTTGCGCTGTCCGACTCAGGATTAAAAGTCCCATACTTATCATGTAACCCTGCTATCTTGGTCGCCTGTGGCGTTGCGCGCTTTGCGTCGAAATAGAAACAGGGACATGCTTGGTTGGAGGGGAGGTTGGCGATAAACGATTTAATACTATTCTGGCTCCCCATTCGATGCATAGCGTCGTCTTCACGGCTTCAATCCGCCTGGGAAATTTCGAAATGAACAAATTTCGTTGTCGAAGCCGGAAAGAATTTTAGAGGGTTGAAAGGTTATTACTTTGGAAACTATTTCATCGGTAACAAGTAACAAGACAGGAATTTAGGAAATGCAAAGGAAAGTAAATAGAGGAAACATTAAAAGTCGGAGTAACGTTATTACAAACTTTAGGACAAAAATGCAATAAAGTGTGTCAGATGTGTGGATGTTAATTAATAATAATAAACTTTATTCAGAGATCATCAATGGTAACATAGGAAACGCCAAAGCTGTGAACGACAGTTACAACAGAAGTTGGATCGAAGGCTGCAAACAAAATTGCAAGTTGTGTGTAAACATTTACATTAAAGACAGTACAATATATGTACAGGGTCACATAACATGCAATATACAAACTAATCAACTCTCACTTTAGATTAAAAAATCGGTAATATGAATATTTAAAAAGCAGACACATGAGATTAAAGAAAAACTAATAAACATATATATAAGTACATTTAGAAATGTATTGGTCACGGAACATAGATAATTCCAGCATTACAATTAAAAGAATAAATACATAAAATAATGAGACGTTAAAATGGAACTAAATTGTATTATAACAAAAGTACTCTTTGACTGAGTAATAAGCTTTACTAGGATGTAACTGTTTGACGGTTCTTTTAAATTCATGAAAATTTGATTGCCTTATGTAATTTGGTGGTTTATTAAATACCTTTATTCCCATGTGCTTGGGGCTTTCAGTTATTGATAGCCTATGTGTCAGAATTTCAGATTGAGGAATTCCGTGTATTGTAGCAGCGTGTGCATTGAGTGCATCGAAGCTGCTGTAGTTATTCTTAACATAAAGTAAAGGTTGAAATATGTAGTGGCAAGGTAAGGTAAGTATCTTAATGAAAATGTATCTGCAAGATATTCTATTGCTTGCAAAAACTATCATCCTCATGGCACTTTTCTGGATTACAAGTAATAATACATGATGATTACGATTAATAATCTATCCACAACATATTTCGGCTGGTTTATACAATAAACAATAGTGGTTTCTTGCATATATCGTCTATATACAGTTCCCATTTCAAGTTGTTTGTTAAATTAACAGAATCGGAATCATACAATAAAAATGTTGAATCATATTCAAACTGAAATTATTCTTTATAGACTGAAAATTCAACACTAATCCTTGTCGTTTACGTAACTCAAAGGTATGCTACGTGATAAGCATACAAGTAACCGATTATATTGTGTTTCACCGTGTTGACACTCGTCATAAATGTTTGAAGGACTTTTGTTATTGGGGCTACTAAAATGCTTTACCTATGCATCTATTTATTCGTCTTTGCGTTTATAAATCCTCGTCTGTTTTGTATACTAGCCGTCGCGAAGGCAGAGCAGGAATATCAAAATACCGCGACCGATTTTTCAGTTGTTTTAATTTCATCAAACTGGGAAATGTTTTTTTTTATTTATTCGCTTTGGCACTGTGGTACATGCAGCTAGTACTAGGATCAAGATTCAATGGTGTTGATAATAATATAAATTGATTGTGTTTGCTTTTAAACTCCTTACTCAGCTAGACATCGTCAATATAATCTCTCACATTAAGTCTACGGCATGTGGCTCTGATGGTCTAACTTTAAATATGGTTTGCTTATGTTTGCCTGATACCATAGACCATATAACTCACATTATTAATGTCTGTCTCGAAACAGGTTACTTTCCTGCCAGTTGGAAAAATGGTATTATTCCAATAGCTAAAACTAATCATCCAGAACAATATTCGGATCTCAGGCCAATTATCTTATTATGCTTTCTATCAAAAATACTCGAAAGAGCTGTCTACTCACAACTTGTGGATTTTTTCGAACAAAATCACTTATTTCTTCTACATCAGTCAGGTTTCAGAGCTAGTTACAGCACTACTTCGTCTTTATTACATCTTACTGATTCCATCATTCACAATTTAGATAATCACATCAACCCCGTCTTGGTACTGTTAGATTTCTCGAAAGCCTTTGATATGGTCAATCACCAGATACTACTGAGTAAGTTATCTCATTATGGAATGTCAGATATAGTTCTAAGGTTCTTTGAGTCATACTTGCTAAATCGTCAACAAACAAACAGTGAAAACTGATGAGGGAATTTCCTCCTCTGAGCCAGTTCCTTCAGGAGTTCCTCAGGGCTCAGTATTAGGTCCCTTACTATATCTGATTTATACGATCGATCTGCAAGACTGTTTAGTCCACTGTAGTATGCAAACTTATGCAGATAATACTCAGTTAGTGTTTGGTTTCGATCCATCAAAGGTTGATGAAGTTTCTTTTAAAGTTTATTTAGATTTGGCTAACATCGGTGATTACTGTAACAAACACTGCTTGAAGATCAATCCTAATAAAACTACTGCAATGTTGTACTGTTCGAAGAACTCCTACCGTGAAATGAAGCAGAGGATTTGTGTTTTTTTAGATGAGTCACTCATCCCTTTTGACGATTACGCCAAGAATCTCGGTGTTACCCTTGACTTAAATATGAGATTCGATCGGCATGTCTCTTTCTTATCTAGCGTAACGTATTTGCGTTTGAAACTCCTCTATTCTAATCGATACAACTTGAATTTTAAAACCCGAAAAAAGCTCGCTGAAAGTCTTGTGTTGTCTGTCATTTCTTACTCTCTTGTTCTGTATTACCCATGTTTAGACTACGTCCACAAAAGAAAACTCCAGAAAATTCAGAACAGCTGTTGTAGGTTTATTTTTGGATTGCGCAAGTTTAGTCGCGTCTCAGATAAAATCAAAGAACTCAACTGGTTGCGAATTGATAAGTTATTTTTATATCTTTTGACCGTCTTCACGCATAAAGTTCTACTATCTAACAGACCAGCTTACCTCGCTAGCAAATTAGTTCACCGAGGTAGTTTTGTTACCAGAGCTCTTAGATTTAATGCTAATTTTAACATGCCTCCTCACAATACCTCGGTCTTTGAAAGAAGTTACACCTATAATGCTGTCAAGCATTACAATGCAGTCAACAGTGGCTATCGATCCAAACAGGTTGTTTCTTTTAAGAAATTAATGAAAAGTCAGCTGCTGGAGTCCATTTAGTTCAGTTTTTCTTGTGCTCATGTGATTTTTTTTTTGTTTGACTATTTTCTACTATTTTTGTTTCAAATTTAAAACTCTCGCAATACTATCTGCATTTGTCTCGTGCAATCAATGTTGTCATTCTTATGAATTGTATTTTTTTTGGTATGTTATTATTTTGTTTATGTGTTTAAGTATTATTTTTTCCTGTTGTGGGGTTGAGTGTAAGAGTAGCCGTCTAGCTAAACTTCGCCTCACTGCAGTTAATAAAGGCATTATTATCATTATTATTATTATTATTATTCGATCAATATTATGATTTCATACGTCGGTTTGTATGTTTTCAAAAAACCTAACAACGGCGAAACAAAGATAGCAGAAGAGCGAGGAGGATAAAACGGAGACACAAATCTTCTCGCCAAGGGGCCTATTGTGGCATTTCTCAGACACAACACGAGCCATGGTTAGATGGGTAGGTATAACACAAAGGGATAAACACGGGGAAACAGAAGCTAAAACCGGACGTTTTATAACGTTGCGCATTACTCTAGCATGAAGACGTAAACCATACTCAAGATGAGGCCATATCTTCGCATAACTGGGGAATGATGATTCAGCAAATTGTTTCACATTTTTGAAGAAAGCAGCAATTGTCACGACCAGTTTCCGATAAATGAACCTATAGTCAACGCCTAACAAAGTGGCGTGCACGTCATCAAGGTGGGTGTGTTGAAAAATTTACATTGTTGCCAAACTTTTTGTAAAATAATAAAATTTATTATTTACATATCTAGGTTGATAAGCAATATTAACCTCAAATGAGAACAAAAATAATAGTATAATAAAATTATAGATCTGTACTTGCATAATCATTAAGTATGACAATTATTGATCAGATGACACTATGAAACTACCATATTTAATTGATAGCTTAAAGGTACTGAATAAAAATCCAAATGGGGTCCTCCAAATTTTATGCATGGTATTTATTTTACAGAATTCATACAGAAAAATGCATTCTAAAATTAGGTAAGCTACTGGTGTAAGCTTTTTCTGTACAATAAAGTTAGTCGGAGTTTCTTTCTTCAGCGCTGTCTGAATCTGAATCTTCATCACTCTCAAAGTTGATTATTAAAGGTTCGATGTCTGGTCGATCAAAAATTCGTTCTCTTTCATACCATATTTCTTGCTCAGTATGTCGAACACTATTTTTCCACATGTCTGGGGTAACCGTTTGTAGAGCCTCGTTCCATATATCCAAACAGTCTTTTTCACTGTTACCATCTCTACCAATATGTCTGTTATAGTAACCTTTTGCTATGCCCCAAATTAACTCAATAGGGTTAAATATACAATGGTAAGGAGGCAGACGAAGAACTTTGTGCCCATGTTGTTCCGCCAATTCATCAATCACGTATATTTTAGGTGGTTTGTTTCTAAAAAAGCAGTTATTTTAAGAATAGGAATAAACAAAAGAAATATAAACTGTCGACCAAAATATATATAATTAAGAAGCATTATGTACCGAGCAACAATATTCAATAGCTCTGTTTTAAACATTGTGTTTAAAAATGGTATGTTTTGATTTGTCAACCAGTCTTGGATATTTTTTTTTGTCCATGCATTGTTGGGCACTTTGTTCAATATCATGCTGTGATAAGGGGCGTTATCCAGTATAATCATAGATGGACTCTCCAATTTTTCTAATAACTGATGTTGAAACCATTTCAAAAAATTGTCCTGATTCATCTCTCCATGGTAATCGCTCAATTTTGTTTTCGAAGAAAATATCGCTTCACTACCCTCAATAAACCCATTTTCATTTCCAGCATGTCATATAATGTATCTAAAATATATTAGTTTTAAATTTTATAGTGCAAATTGTGTAAAAGTACATACCTTTTACCATCTGTTTTAATAGCTTTCACGCTTTTTTGGTTTCCATTTTGCCAGGAGCGACCTATGGTCCCATTTTGAAATATCCAAGTTTCATCGAGGAAGACAAACTGGTATAAGGCCTCAACCTTGGCTTGATTGTATTGCCTTAGAAATTCCACCCTTTTCAAAGCTATACTTGGTAGTTCCATGAGCCCTCGTCGCGGATTGTCCTTAAGCCACATAAATCCAAGATCTCTAAGCAACCGCCTTAAAGACGTGGCACTACCATCAAATAATGCCCTATCTCTTAATCGAGACCATAAAGTTTGTATCGTAACTTGTTCTTCTGAAACCATGTGTAATATGACATTATAATTTAGTTAACAAATTAATGCAAATTTCTGATAAGTTATTATAATAAGATCTTACTTTTGTGATACATATTATAGATCACTTCTCCAATGGCACTTGTATCCAATGTCGCTGTGTTGGTTACACGTTTAATATAACTCCGCTTTTTCTTGGGCGATTCTAAATTTGCCTTGCACTCTTCACACCCTCGGAAATACGACTAACTGTCCTTAAACTAATTTTTAAAGCAGCAGCAACACGCTACAAAAAATAAAATAAAATTTCACTATAATTAATATACATTACATATAATTATTAGTAACCTACCTCTTGAACAGCATTTAAAGGCAACAAAGGCCCGTTGTTGTCCCTTTCTTGCTCAAAGTAGTGCATTAACGAGGCCACGAGTTCCTTACGCCGACTATTTAACTGTTTGGGCATCTTTATATACCAAAATTGCCTTTATCTACTCGTAAAATGAATAATTTTGCTTTGAAACAAACAGTTGTTGATTTACAGTATGCGGGGCCAAAGGATTTATAAAGATTTGAAATGCCACAAATTGATTCAGTGTCAAAATTAATACAAATGTCAGTTCCCAGTTTAAATAGGTTTCAAGGTGACAATGTGTCAACGCTGCGAAATCGGTTTAGTGCGTTTACATGTCGATAAGTGATTGGAGCGTTTGCAAAACATTTTATTTCGCATAATGCGTCTAAATTTATCAGAAAGCAACTTGTGTGATATTTTAATAACAATGTTTATATGACTATTAACCATAATAAGAGAGTAATGACCATTTTACAATTTATATATCACATTAATATGAAACTGCAATAGAGCAATTGTTTGTGATAGAAACCTAGGCATTAGGTCGGGGAATTTTTATCGTGATGACGTGCACGCCACTTTGTTTGGCGTTGACTTATAGAACGACTTCTAATAAAAAGTAAAAGCCTGGCTATTGCGCCCTACATGCCGAAACCGTGACCTCGCTTGAGTGAAATCAACATGCTGAACATCCTATGATATCGCTGTCTCCATTTTTCGCGCAGTGACATACGGCGGTAACAGCACCAGAACCGATTCATTCATATTCATTTCGCTCGATTTGCATCCCTCTTACGGAAGGCACACGCATAACTGAACCCTGTTTCGGATATGTTCATAAATCGACCGCAGTCGTACAGCTATATACATTCACTATATAATCCAGGTATTGTTGATGGTCGATTGATATAGGTGTAGGGTGTACCTAAAATTAGGACTTTCCTTTTCGGAAACCAATATGTTTGAAATAACAATGTCACATTTTTTGCATGTAGTTGTCGCCGTTCGATTGAGAAACACAATTTTTATTTTATCTTCTTCATAAATATGCAAGATTATCTAGGTCTTCACTATGTCCACTTCGACGGCCTTTGCAGCCGGGGACGAAGTATTAATAGAATCTTGATTACAACTTCGGTATTGCTACAGCAGTGTGCCAATTTCGGTTTTTCAGATACATTTGTAAACAAACATCTAGGTTAACCAACACACCTCGCAGCACTTGATTTGTCGCAAGTCGTACCATTTGATACCAGGTTTGATGTACGTGGTAGCTACCAGGAAAATTTGCTTATTAAAATGAATTATTCGCTGTAGTCGCATGTACAGTAGTTATTTTGAATTATTCTAGCTTGAATCTGTTGCAATGATCTGCGGGGGTGAATTCTTGTAAAATGTCATTTTGTGTTCACGTTTCACCTTACCTCCTTATCTCTTTATTGCGTTATAATTTTCGTTCCGACAACAAATTCAAGCCCAACAAAGGAAATACGCGACTGAATGTAGCACAGAAAAGTCCTTTTAAATGTACAAAATTCCAATATAGCATCCACATAAAAAAACATAGTTGGTGATGGAAGCCGAAAGAAGAAATATCTAATTGAGAGAGGAGACTAAGTGACAATGACAACATACAATTCATTTTGGAATCCCATCTCAAATAAAGTCAGGAAAGAATAAAAATGATTTTTTGTTAAATCTGATAACTTCAAGGCCTACCTAGGAAATTCTATTTTTTACATAACCAAGGTTTCGGAAACAAAAAAGCGAAAGAATTTGGAACGATGTTTTTACAATTATTTCATTCAGTTGTATACAGTCAGTGTCAGTCGGTAGTGGATAGTGGTGTCTGTTGCGTGGCTCAAACGAAATAAAAAATGGCACATGTTTATGCGGATCGGTTTCCCAATCGAGTGCAACCAACCCCTCGTGCCTTTGTTAATGTAGTACAGCGGGTTCGTGAATCATTTGACTTAAGACCTCACATATGGACGGCATGCCGGTGCTCCAAGACCTCACGATCAAATACAGGTCCGCACTGAAATACTTGTCGGGAAGATACTTTATAAAACAAGGTAAATTTTTTTTTTATTTTCACACACATATTTTGGTTTATCTTCCTTCTACAATCATTATCTGAAAATTAATGACTCAACTTCAAAGTCACCCTGTATATACATTTTTGGAATCAGGATTGAACACTGTATTCATCTGTGCAAAAATCCAATATGGCCTCTTTAAGAAAAAAAAATGTGCATGCTAGAGATCAAGAGATGAAAAGTCTTAATTATGCCGTCCTGTAGAGGAGAAAAAGTGGCAATGTTAATGTGCAATTTATTTTGAAATCCCACTACAAATAAAGTTCCTTGTTTTTCTGTCTGTCTTCGGAAGTACTTTGAATTTCGACACTTTCAAGGCGGTATTTTGTTAGTTACCTAAATACTCAACTTTGCTGCCATTTAAGCGACTCTCTTGCCGAGATCCCAATGGCGAGGGTCGAATTTGAAATACCCGGTATATATGTCATATTTGGAGAAGCAAAGTGAAAACCAGAAGAAAACTGGCTGCATACAAAGTAAAGCTGTGAAATGCGACTCTGGTGACAATTGACAACGGGTCCTCCGGGCCGTACGATATTATTACAATAAAAAAAAAACAATGTAGCACTCTTTTCACCAAAATGAAACGCTATATTATTACCTTTTCTGATGACTTTTAACGACTGCTTTAATGTTTATCGAATGAGTTTTTCATATCATTAAATGTTTCCTCACAAAGTCTTTAGAGATTTACGCCAGTCAGTCTTCAAATACCTTCGCTGAAGCTCTCAAAAATAAAATTACCACGGTCTCGTTCTATTATATAAGGAAAACAACGTGCTGATTATTGGTAACCTTTTTAGAATTATTTTTGGCAATGTTTCACTTATCGGCACTACTTTGACTGTGCTACTAATTGGAACAACCCCACACATTACGCATACAGCAGAAGCGGGAAACGCGAGTTTTCCAAACATGGCATTTAATAATGGAAAAGGTTATGTTTATACAATGACTATTCACTGCCGGAAGGTATTATTAAAACTGTTCGCAATATGAATTTTAAAACACACGCGCACGATTTGTTCAATATGGTTCAATGGTACGATTAATTGCAATATCTGATGGTATTATTGGAACTTAATTTGGTCATGGGAAAAAATATCTATCAGCTTGTACTCAAGTATAGAAAGAACCCTCCAGTCTTCTCCGCCGTACGCGTAAGCAAACTCTTCTGAAATCTAGGGCGGTAAACTAACCCCCGCTATCCTTAAGTTGGCTGTCCGTTATTGATTCCTGCAACTGCTTTTTTTTTCTTTTTTTGGTGAGGGGGGAATGCGTTTACGCACCATACCATAGCCCGAGCTACGGCGTGTGTGGGACTCCAGGTTGTCTTGAGGAGACCACCTAATACCCACTAAACCCTAACCT